CTCTTTCTCGGGAGCAAGGTAACATACCCTTCTAGCCCTTCCCCAATCCGAAGCCTTGCCTATTCTTACAGCCAAAAAAAAGACATGTCGAACTCCGTTGTCCTCCCCTCGCCGTCAGTCTTTGGGTTTCCTCCCTTAGTTGTATTGCATGTAGCTGGCCGTCGAGTTGAACTTGAGGTTGGCCTTAATGACCTTGTCGACAGCGCTGAGAAAGTCCTTCTCCGTCGCCACCTTTCTTCGCGCGCGGATAGCGAACATGCCAGCCTCCGTGCAGACACTGCGGAGCTCGGCACCCGTGGCGTTGGGGCAAAGACGCGAGATAAGCTCCCACCGGATGTCGCGCTCGACCGACATGCTCTTGGCGTGAATACGCAGAATGTTGGCACGACCCTCGAGGTCGGGCAGGGAAAACTCGATCTTACGATCAATACGACCCGGTCTCATCAGGGCGGGGTCGAGAGTAGAGGGTCTGTTTGTGGCGAACATGACCTTAATATTGCCGCGGGCGTCGAAACCGTCAAGCTGGGTGATGAGCTCCAGCATAGTTCTCTGGACTTCGTTGTCTCCGCCGGCACCGTCGTCGAAACGGGCACCACCGATGGCGTCAATTTCGTCGAAGAAGATGATGCAGGCCTTCTTCGTCCGCGCCATCTCGAAAAGTTCACGCACCATTCTTGCGCCCTCACCGACGTACTTCTGGACCAGCTCACTGCCGATGACTCTGATGAAGGTAGCATCCGTTCTGTTGGCGACAGCTCGGGCGCAGAGCGTTTTTCCGGTACCCGGGGGTCCGTAGAGAAGGGCACCCTTCGGAGGGTCGATGCCGAGGTTGACGAACCGCTCCGGCGAGAGAAGGGGCATCTCGACGACCTCTCGCAGCTTCTCGACCTGCTCCTTTGATCCACCAACATCCCCGTATGTAACATCGGGCTTCTCCTCGACCGTCATCATCGTGACACTGGCATCGATCTTGGGCGGGAGCGGCAGGAGGATCTGGTACTTGTTCCGGTCGACACCAACTCGCATGCCCTCCTCGATATCCGTGGGGCTCACTCGCTCGCCGAGCTGGACGACGAACTTGGCGATCTGCTTGACGTTGATGACATATTTGCTCTTGGAGTCGTCCTTCTCATCGGGGATGATCTTCGTACACCGCGCAACCTGAAGGGGCTGTTCTTCTGACATGCGTTGCCGGTCTGCTGCTACATCCCAAAGATGAGGAGGGGCAAGTCCCGTGTCAGATTCCTGTTCAAGTCAGACCGAGTTCAATCCATCCGACACAGTACAAGTACCTTGACACCGATCTTCTCATCTACACTTGTTTGCTTCTCCTTGATCTGTTGCTCGAGTTTCTTGATGGCAGCACCGTACGGCGCGGCGCCGTAGGTCTTCAGCACCTGGATATCTCTGAGCGAGGATTGTCAGTCAACGACCAGGCGCAATCCGGGACCAATGGGACAACGAACTCGTCGGTCAATGGTGTGATCTTTTTCTCTTCGACCTCGTCATCGGCGTAGGTCTTTTGGTATTTCTCCCAGTTCTGGCCGGTAGCGGAAGGCTAATACTGGGGTTAGCACCCGCCGTCGGTGGCCACGCTTGCAGGGTCCATACCATGATGTAGGATGAGGACTCGACGCCCTACTGCCGAATATTGTTTCGATTAGGTCCTTTCTGGGAGGTTTTCGGTTTGAAGGCGGTGTCGACGTAGAATCGTGGTGTCTCGAAGAAGTGGTCGCGTTGGTGTTAACGAGTACAGAAGGTATGCCGCTGGAGGTGGGTTCGAGGTGGTGATGGAAGACGGTTCCGTAATCCAGGTTGCCTTGAGCTCTAAGCACGGGCCACAAATGCGAGGCTAGGTACTGTGGAGCTAGGCTGCTTTGGGGGGGGGGGGGGGGGTAAACAAACAGAGTACCGGGGCAGGAACAACCTAGCGCCCGCTAAAAAATATCCCACCGCTTGGGGGGGGAGGTTGCTACCTGAGAGAAAGTGGGCGATCGCAAAAGAAGGTAAGAGCGGGACAGGACTACGAAGATACCGATCGATACCTTTGCATCCACGGTCCAGCTTGTTTTTTCGCCCTCGAACACCTCAAAACAAGCACAACACTAGTCAGAACCGTCAATATGGCCACAACTGCACCACCCCCGGCCGCGGGAGGCTCTGGAAATGCTACCTTCAAGGTACGACCTGCACTTGCACTGCACCGCCCATGACGAAGCTTCAAGAGCTGTTGCTAACAGTCATATAGGACAAGGAGAAGCCCGTCGCCGTTCGCTCTTCCAACATTGTTGCTGCCAGAGGTGAGCAATACAACCCGCTGTCGAGCTTCACAGACCGAAATCTAACGTCCCCATAGCCGTCGCCGATGCCATCCGAACCTCCTTGGGCCCCCGCGGCATGGACAAGATGATTCGTAGCGGAAAGGGCGAGACTATCATTACAAACGACGGCAACACAATGCTCAAGAGCATGTCTGTCATGCACCCGACAGCAAAGATGTTGGTCAATCTTTCAGCGGCACAGGATGTGGAGGCAGGAGATGGCACAACATCCGTAGTCGTCATCTGCGGTAGCTTGTTGGGTGCTGCAGACAGACTCTTGTCAAAAGGAATCCACCCTTCTGTCATCTCAGAGGCTTTCCAGAGAGCTGCTGCCGCAGCCGTCGAGGTTCTCCACGGCATGTCACAACCCATTTCTCTCACCGACACAGCATCCTTGCTTCAGGCGGCCAACACATCCCTCTCTTCAAAGATCGTGTCGCAATACTCCAACATCCTGGGCCCTATGGCTGTGAACTCCGTTGTCAAGACCATTGATCTCAAGACGGCAGATAATGTTGACCTGAAGAACATCAGAATCGTCAAGAAGGTTGGCGGAACCATTGAGGACAGTGAGCTGTCGGATGGTTTGATCCTGACACAGCCCGTCCTAAAGGGAGCCGGTGGCCCTGCGAGAATCGAGAAGGCGAGAATCGGTTTGATTCAGTTTCAGCTCAGCCCTCCCAAGCCCGATGTACGTTTCCCCTTTTAATGCCCCTTTTCGCAGCCGCTGACCAATCAAGATGGAAAACACCATCCAGGTCAACGACTACAGGCAGATGGACAAGATCGTGAAGGAGGAACGTCTTTACCTCCTCAACATGGTCAAGAAGATCAAGAAAGCCAAGTGCAACGTTCTTTTCATCCAGAAGTCCATCCTTCGCGATGCTGTCAACGACCTGTCTTTGCACTTCCTTGCCAAGCTTGGCATCCTTGCTGTCAAGGATATCGAGCGTGACGAGATCGAGTTCATCTGCAAGTCGACTGGCTGCAAGCCGATTGCAGACATCGATTCCTTCACGGAGGACAAGCTCGGCTCGGCCGACCTCGTTGAGGAGGTCCAGTCCAACGGAGCCCGTATGGTGAAGGTTACGGGCGCCAAGGCGACCGGCAAGACCGTGTCTGTAGTCGTTCGTGGTGCCAACTCCCTCATCCTCGATGAGGCTGAGCGCAGTCTGCACGACGCCCACTGCGTCGTCCGCTGCTTGGTGAAGAAGAAGGCCCTGATTGCCGGTGGCGGTGCTGCCGAGATTGAGATCGCGTCGCAGCTCTCCAAACAAGCTCGTGAACTCACTGGCACTGAGGCCATCTGCTGGAAGGCTTTTGCGGATGCCATGGAGGTCATTCCCACCACGCTGGCTGAGAACGCCGGTCTCAACAGTATCAAGGTTGTGACCGAGCTTCGTCACAGACACGAGCTTGGTGAGAAGAATGCGGGTGTCAGTATCAAGTCCGGCGGCGTCAACACCAACATCTCCAAGGAGAACGTCCTCCAGCCTCTACTTGTGAGCACCAGCGCCATTGAGTTGGCAGCTGAGACGGTGAAGATGATCCTCAGAATAGACGACATCGCCCTCACGAGATAAAGGGGAGGACATGAGTCACGAAATAAAAAACAAAAGTAAAAGGGGAAATCCAGGCTTGATGATCATGTACATTACGGCTACCCTGGCTTATTTGCGGTGTAGACGTGGGCCTGAAATTGAGGCGTCAAAACTATTAGAAGCTGAGAGAGCAATTGATCATACAAAGATACCTTGATGACATCTCAATACTGGTTACAACCCGTCCGTTGTCCTCTGTGACTTTGTCCTTTACCCTATAAGCCTGACAGGCAATACTGCTGGTTATGACATTGGATAGTCCGGATGAGTGATGCCCTCACTTACAGGCTTGCAATCGTGAGACGTCAATATACTGTTTGGTGGCAGTACCCCTGTGGACTGTCTCGATTATCGATTTCCAGGGTTACAAGTGTTCCCTTACGCAGGCCACATGTACTGATTCATAATTTAAATCTTTATCATGTATACGGCGTCAAACCAGTTTTGGGGTCTGCAAATGCCGAACCACGTGAAGCATTCCAGAGATTCCTGCCCGTAGAAATGTTAAAGACGCTACTGCTATCACTTCATATCCCCTTAGCAAAGAGATCGCAGATGACCACTGGCTTCTAAGATTAAGTACCTGAGTCACTGCTGTATACATTTGGAACGCTCTTGTGTTGAGTCTGCACGACGGGCGTATGTTGAACAATGTCCAGAGTCTTAAGCATACGGAAGTCTATTGCAGTGACGCAGTACATTTGAGGCTGCTTATTTACAGAAAAGTTTCCATCTTATAAAGATCGACCAGGGCTACCTTGTGGCTTAAATTACTGCACCGTGTATGGCAGACTTAGGAACAAATCCCAAAGCACACCCTTCATCCATTGGAGGAAACGTACGCTCCTGGGTCACTCAACAAAATTATCAGAACCAGGAAATCTTGATGGGACTATTAAGGATACAATGTATGGAGGAGAAATATGAGCCGGACTATGAAACGCCGACTACATAAACCACTTGACCAAGAGTAAGAAAAAAAAGTCAGCAAAAAGGTGTACAATTTGTCAATCGTGGACGGGAATTGAGCCCGACGTGGCTGGTGAATGTTAGTCAAGGCGTTCGTGATGCGTCACGGAGCCGGGAATGCGCTTACGGGTCGAACCCACAACCTTGAGATTAAGAGTCTCACGCTCTACCGATTGAGCTAGCCGGGCAGGCCATTGAGGTTGGTTAGTGAGCCTCACGATGGGTTAGAATATGGCGGAGGGTGATGGGGGGGAAGAGGTGGGTTCTTGTGCGGAGAGTATGTATCCAAGGGCACGGAAACCCGCAAAACGGGGTGGGTGGGCCAGGCATACCGCTCCTTGTTCCGGGGTACATCACGGACTTGAACATCTCATGGCACGGGTGTGCCGATGCGAACCAGGTCATGTAAGACGCTCAATGGAGGCGTTGGGCTGAAAACAGAGGAATCAGGTTCCAAATTATACAAGTGTTGGTAAATTACTGCTATGAACTACCAACATGCCCAAGCCACATGCTGTTGACCTGCATAAAAGATTGAGGCCAAAGTCTTTCCTGTCTTGAGTTCCTTTCCCAACGCCAGAATGGTATATAGATCGATTTCATCGATTCGATCAAGAGATCAAGAAGTTGTGTAAAAAAGCCAGCTCAGCTGAATACAAAGAAAAAGGGTAAAAATTTGGGATGGGGGTTCCTTTTCGAAAAAAAACACATCACATACGTTTCAACATTCAACCGCTCGCCACTTTCATAGTCATCGTCGCAATCGTCTTCTATCTCGCTTGACCAAAGGAGAACTGGTGTGGTGGCGGGCTCTTCACTGGCGCATCAGCATAGGCCCCAGGAATCGGCACGGCGTCGTAGACAGGCTCGTCAGCAGCCATCGGCGCATGCTGCTGGGTCTGGCCTTGCGGCGATTGTTCCTGTTGCGATGTCTGGGGTTGTTGCTGGAAAGGGAATGACGGAGCAGGACCATCCGGCGAAGTAGGCGTGTAGGAGCCCTGACCAGGCTTGGTCGCCGAGCGGGCCTTGGACGGAGGGGCTTGGAGCTGGAAGGCGGGCTTGGGCTTGTTGAAGCTAGACTCGGGCTCGACGAAACGGGTTCCCGGCGTGAATGGGGACGCCTCCTCGATGCGAGACAGGTTTTCAAAGGTCTTGTCGGGGTGGCGGGGAGACAGGGCATACTGGGAGTACAGGCCAGGCGACTTAAGGCCGGGAGTGTTCGGGGCGGACTGGGTCCGGAGCTGGGCGAGGTAGAGGTCAGAACGGGCGCGGTCGCGCATGTCCATAGACTTGTGGAGGCGGCGCTTGGTGTAGTATCGGTAGAAAACAATGCTGTAGAGCAGGACGCAGATGACATCGATGACGATTTCGATAACCATGCAGATGAGGGCCCAGTTCTGGAGTCGGCAGATGAGGGCGTAGTCGACCTTTTCGCTGAAGACCTCGGAGCGCTTGTTCTCCTTGCACGACCAACCCCACATGTCCTTGCCGCCGCCATTGCTTCGACTCGACTGGAAGATGCCGGCGGAGATGGCCCACATGACCATGGAAAGGATGAACCAGCCGATGGAGAAGAGAGTGTAGTAGGTGGCGACTTTCTCAGCACGGGCATGACCGCCGCGGCAGTAAGAGAGCAAGACCCCGATACAGACGATAAGAGAGATGGAAGACACTGTGTGCTGTTAGAATGCGGGCAGGTTATCGAAGACATGAATAAACTCACTAGTAATAACCAGAACCTGGGGCCAGATAGCGGTGCCTTCAGCCCATGCTGGTAGACCGCTTTGAGCAGGGAGGTGCCTGGTCGCGTTGAAAATCTGGAAGGAAGCCGCAAGCATACTGATGATGATCAGACTGCAGCTGAAGCTGACGCCACGAAGGGCGAACTTGGCCATGCGGACGCGAGCCTTGATTTTCTGTAGGCGTGTTAGCGACGGACTACTTTATGGGGGGTCAATGCCACATACTAGGTCGCGTGCTTGTTCCTTGTCAGTTGCCTCCTCGCGCTTTTCCAAGATGTCCTCCTCTCGGAAGGTTGGGCTGAGCGGGTTCTCGATCTTCCTCGCTGGGGTCCCGGGCACCCTCATGGCGCTCTTGAGTGGTGATCTCGGAGTCATTGGAACGGCGACGGACTCGCGGTTGCCGCCGCCGCCGCTGTTGTTGATGTAGCCGAACCCGATGTCCCCAGGCTGAGACTGAGGCATTTCGGACCTGACGGGGTCGGCGAAGGGCGACCGAGCACCCTCGACAGGAGAGTGAACTGATGTCGCTTCTGCGAAGCGAGGAGTCCGGGGGGCCTTCAGTGATGATTCGGACGATGATGAATCTGTGGATGCTGATCGAGCGGGAGCGAGATTCAGGGCGGCAGGCCGCCTCTTGTCTTCTAGCGATTGTGTTAGTCCATGGTGCCGGTATATTTTGACCTCGGACGAAGACATACCTTGCCGCGACATGGTTGTGATGTGTGTTTGTGTACCCGAATAGCAAGTACGGAAGAAAACGATGAGATATGTATGCCTAGTATATAGAAAAGGCGCCCTCGAAGTTGAGGCCGCTGACAGGAAAGTCGATTCAGAAAATGCAACAGAGTTTGGTGATCAAAGCAGGAATGAAGCACGATAGGAATCAGATTGGGAGAGACCAGCTGTCGGAAGGGAGAAGAGAGGTCCAACAAATCGGTCACTCGGGGGAGCTGGTAGTTTTGAGTTGACGCCGGTACTGTCTAGGACACAAGGCAAAGGCCCTTTCCGCTACATGGGGCAGATCAGCAAGGTGTAAGTGGGACGAAGAGGAACCGGGATTCCTACATGTAGCGTGGGAGGGTAGGATGGCGCGAGGTGAGCAGGGCTGTGATAGGTGCGAGGCCGGGTTCCAGGCCAGCGATTCGGTCGAGATGAAAATAGACGCTCACGAAAGTGGATGGGGTGGCGCCGGGCTTTGGTTGGCTCGATGCTTCAAGATACGTCTTTCAAAATCGCCTCTTGCTGGCTGGCTGGCTGGCGTGTAAGGTCCCGAGCGGAGTCCCTTTCACACTGCTTTCTTGATTGCGCGGCGGCTACTGTAATCACCAGGAGATCGCCCGTTGCTGAAACAAAAAGCAACTTCAAGTTCTGGAGAGAAGAGGCGGAAGCCGAACGAGGAGGCAAAGACACACTGCAAGCAACAAACCCGTGGGCCAAGAGTTGCGCGCATTTCTGAACAGGCGACGGATATAGAATCTTGGGAGCAACCCCAAATAGGCGTCCTCGAGAGGGGGAGAGGAAGAGGCAGGGTACTGGGGAAGCATGCACACTTGCACATCTTGCAGGCTGGCAGAGTATTGACCGGTCAGACGGCTAGCTGAGGGACAGAATAGTCTTTAGACCGGAGTCTCTGGGCCGACCTCTCCTCTCCCCGACAAAGCCTACTGGAGCTTGGCGGCACTTGTCGTTGCATCCGCATGGCTCGACGATGCACGTAAGGCCGGCGATTGGACACGGTTCATCAAATCGAGAGGAGGCAGGTCGAGTTTGCAGCGGGAGGGCAATGATGGTGGTTGGACGGAAGATGGAAAGAGGTGAGATTTGCGGAACCCTTGCTCTTGGTTCAACCACCGGCCGGCGCCAACACGTCCGTCCAACCCTTGTTGCCGCCCGCTTTCCCTGTCGTGTAGCTGCAGACGTGATAGGCTCAAATGGTGCAGGCGCATCCCAATGCTACAGGCCTGCACACTGGCGCATAGGGCTGCAACCAATCAGAGATCAAAAGCGCGTGATGGACGGCCAGCCACATGCAGACTGGGCGGTAAGCAGAAGTTGGATGAATGGGGGAACTGCGCAACACAATGGTTGCATCCTCTGTTTTTGCGTCTGCAAGTACGTGTGCGCGTGTTGCCTTTTGACTCTTTGCCTCGAGTCACCTTGCTCGAGTCGTCTAGGTCTTTCTATTCTTGTTTCCCCAAGCCTAGCCTGATCTGATATGTACGGATACCTTCAGTTGATGGGTACAGGTATGTATGTACGTGATAGTAAGTACGTGATAGTAAGTACGGACTCTAGAGTAGGTATTAGTTTATTATGGGTCTCTGAGCGTTCCTGGTTATTTGCTCCCCACGGTACCGGCCGTGGGCACGTCCATCTGTAGAGTGGTAAAGTGTGCAGATCTGACAACGACACTCGCCTCCCCGCTGTCACCGGGCCCAAAATCTCACGTTGGCCACGGTTGAATTGTGGCCGGGGGTTGCATTTTGCAATCCTTCGATCCGTCAGCTTGACCGAGGTGATGACGATAACACGAAGAAGGGGAGGGACCCCAAGCCTTGATGTTCACAACTTGAAATTCGGGCATATTTGGTGCTTCGAAATGCCCAGTTAAGCACACATTATGGCTGTCCAAATATTGTCGCGGGCCTTTATCTTGAATAGAATGATAATCACCAATGTTGGAGGGCACTTGGCTTGTACATACTTAGGTACCAACTTTGGGGCAAGGTCTGGCCCGCGTCCCACATCTCTTCTAGGTACCTATTCGTACGTTATAATAGTCAAGCCAAGCTGGTTAAAAGAGACCAAAACTGTTGTCAGTTCTTTTTGCTTAGTCTTTCCCCCCTAATAAGCAAGTCTAGCTTAGCTCGTCCTTGCTACCCTGTTTCCATAATAGTAAGCCAATCAGAAAACTGCTCCGGTAGAGGTGTGGTTGGCTGCATTGACCTATTTTTACTCAATATCGACATCGGCGTACCTAGCAGTAAGACGAGACGGGCAGTCCACCATTTTGATCCCTTCGGCCCTACATGCGGGGCGTCGTTCCTGAGCAATGAGATAGCTTTGATACCACGACAGATGCAGAGCGTGGAATCCATAGAGAAAGGATATCTTGAGGCCGTATAGAATCTTGTCGGTCCGGTGATTGATGCTTGAATGCCGATTCCAGTTTAGCAAAATTGAGTGACCCTCTTCTCCTACGATGTCCATCTCCATGATCGAGAGATGCTTTGGCAACTTCAGGCCCGACTCCAATTATTCGTTTGGCTATCTCAACCCGAGACCGAATTTTGATATATCTGCTTTCGACTTCTATATAAGATGGTGACCTCTCTCGCTGGCGAACGATTTAGATTCTCATAGGCATCAACACATGATAGGCTGGCCCGTCACTCGCGTCCAAGCCGAGACAAGCTTAGAATGTGTTATTAATTGCGATTTCATCC